TTGCATAAGGCTAAGCACTGCCTTCTCTTTGAATGAGACTAATCCTTGTCTTAAATATTACATGAGACTAAGCCCTGCCTCCATATTTGCATAAGGCTAAGCATTGGCTTCTCTCTGCATGAGACTAAGCCCTGTCTCAAATCTTGTATGAGACTAAGCCTTGCCGCCCTTTCTTGCATGAGGCTAAGCCATGCCTCCCTATTTGTATAAGGCTAAGCACTGCCTTCCACTGTATGAGACCAATCATTGTCTCCTCTCCATGCATTAGGCTAAGCCCTGCCTCCCCAACTGCATAAGGCTAAGCTTTGCCTTTCCTTGTCTAATGCTGAATGTTACACTATCTGAAACCTAGCACTATTTTGCCGTTTACGGGGCTAAGCTCTGCCCCAATTCTATGCAAGACTAAACTCTATCTTGTTTAATTATATGATCCATCATCATGTCTCTATCTGAATGCGTCATAGTACGAAGGCATCTCCTCATAGCCTGAAGACACCATGACATGGCCTGAGGATCTCTCAATACTTCACATCATTATTCAAAGGCGTAATGGTTCGGAGGCACCAATTTCATGGCCCGATAACATCATTTCATGGCCTACGAATCCCCTATCTCATCATTCATGACCCAGGATGTCATGGTCTAAGGACTTCATCCTCTCCGTCCAAAGACATCCTTCATGGTCCGAAGGGAATTTGCATATTGTTTAAATTTCCGCAGTAATCTATACACTTGCATGAATCGTGTTTTAAGTTTGCAGGAAATCCAAGAGGTAACAGTTCTTCAAACAGGAGCAACTTTCGCTTCGGTTTCCACTCATACTATTTTTATCTTACTCATATCTCAAACATAGCCGATTCTCATCAATTACTCGCCTTTGCCCCATGACCGTTCAGATACCCGCCATGTGATACATCCGGTATGCTCTAGACTCATGTTCATAACTCCGTATAAACCCATCTGATACTATCCTCCCCAAAAGGAACCCTTTCCAAAACATACGACCATTCCTATAATAATTCCATCAGTTTTATTCATCATTGGGTCCAAAACTACACATGGCCAGGCTCCTGTAAAACCATGAATATGTAGGCAGCTCAGAGACCAGGGTGCGACCTATATTTTTCAAACATCCCATGTGGTCAAAATCGGTCATCATACCCGACAACTCTTTTATCCTTTCCGGGATAAGAGGGGCAGCTGTTGATACCCTATTTTTCCCTCATACATTTTAAATAAGCATATATATAACTATATCCCTCATGCACAAGTATTTCTATAGTTTTTCTATAATTTTAAAAGATTTATATCAAGTTATTTCTGCATTTGTTATTATACAAATATCCAATAATTATCCCTCATATCATTTTTCTGATGATTTAATCATCTAAATTTATCATTTAAACCCATATAGTGCTTAAATATTTTAATTAAATTTTTATAATTACATTTGCATTTTTAGGCTAGAATTGCATATTTTGCAATAATAGCCCATATATATCCATAATATATTATCTATTCAAAAAATGACTTTCTATATTTTTATAATATTAAGTAATTATTTTTAATTATTTTCATACAAAAATAACATTTTTATCATTTATAAATTATTTTATTAAATTAAATGGGTATTTAAAACATAGCCCCCCTTAAATTAAATTTTTGGACCCCAGCCCAATAACTAGTCAGCCCAATTATCCTAACCCATAAACCAACTACCCTACCCATCCAATAACCCGCCCTAGCCTAAAATTAATCCTGGTCGTTGATCTCAGAATATCAACGGTTGAGGATAGACCTTCCTTTTTTAATTATACTAAACCTAAACCCTATCCTCATTTTCCCCCAACCTGCCGCCTCTGGATCCCTTCTCTCATCTCTTCTCTGTCTCCCCCCCCCCCCCCCCCCAACTATAACGACCCGACCGGTCGTTTTGAGCTTTTGCACTTTGATCGCCAGTTCTTAGGCATGTCTTGTCCCGTATGATATATTATGACTGATGTAAATCGTTGATTTTGGTTTTCACAGAAATCGGTATGAATTTGAAAGAATAGTCTCAGTTGAAAGCTTTGAATTTGAAACGTTTGACCAAGAGTTGACTTATTTGTATATGAGCTCGGACCAGAATTTTTATGATTTGGTTAGCTTTGTTGGGTGATTTATGACTTAGGAACGTGATTGGAATTGGTTTTTGAGGTTCGGTGTAGAATTAGGCTTGAATTGGCAAAGTGAGTATTTTGGCGAATTCCGGTTGATTGGTGAGATTTTGATCCGAGGGTCGGAATAGAATTCCAAGAGTTGTTGTAGCTTCGTTATGTCATTTGTGATGTGTGTGCAAAATTTTAGGTCATTCGGACATGGTTTGGTTGGGTTTTAGATCGAAAGCGTATTATGAAGTTTTTAGAAAACTTAGGCTTGGATTCGATGTGAATTGATGGATTTGGTGTTGTTTGAGGTGTTTTGATGATTGGAACAAGTTTGAATGAGGTTTTAGGATGTGTTGGTACTTTTGGTTGGGGTCCCGGGGGACTCGGGTGAGTTTCGGGTGGTCAATCGGACCATTTTCTATGTTGAGAAGTTGCAAAAATTTCAAAACCTGTTATAGATGATTTTAGCCTTCGCGATTGCGTGAGGTCCACCGTGATCGCGTAGAAAGAATGTGGGTTGGCCTGAGTTCGGCTTTTGTGTTCGCGTTTGCGGTCTCGCGTTTGCGGAGGGCCTTGACCTTGTGCTTCGCGTTCGCATGCAGTGGTTCGCGTTCGCGTATAATTCTTTGGGGGTCCAGTGGATTTGTTCTTTGCGTTCGCATCATCTGGTTCGCGTTCACGTAGGTCTGGAAAGTAAGGTATCGCGTTCGCATAGTAGGTATCGCGTTCACATAGTGCATTTGGGAGTCTTGGAATTTTTGCTCTTCGCGATCGCGAGGCTTGGGTCGCGATCACGATGAAGGAAGTTCAGAGCTGGGCAGAAAGTTTATAAAACATTTCATCCGCGATTTTGAGCCATTATTCCTCCATAGCTGAGTATTTTGAGAGCTCTTTGAGGGAAATTGAAGAGGGATTCATGGAGAGTTGATTGGAGGTAAGATTTTTGAACCTAAAACGTGATTCTATTGTGAAAATTACCTAGAAATTCATGGAATTAGGCTAAAACTAGAAGAACTAGGGCTTGGGATTTTGAAACTTTTAAATTGAGATTAAGGACCATTTGAGGTCGGATTTGAGAACTTTTTATATGTATGAACTCGTGGAAGGATAAGGAACCCGTTGATGTAAAAATTTCTAAGTTTTGACAAGTGGGACCGGGTCTCGGGTTTTGGTAATTTCGGGATTTGTGCCCGTTATTAATTGTTTTCTCTTGGGGTTTGTTCCCTCAGCATATTGTGATGTATTCGTTCTTATTTTGGATAGATTCGATGCACGTGGAGGCCGATTTGAGGGGCAAATGCGTCGCGAGCTAGAGATTTCGCCGGTTCGAGGTGAGTAATGATTGTAAATGATATCCTGAGGGTTTGAAACCCCGAATTTGCACATCGTAGTGCTATATTGAGGTGAGACACGCTCTTGATGATGAGTTGGGGATTGTGACTTGGTCCGTCATGATTGACGTTTTTATCGCGTATTTGATTGAAACTTATTTGTTATCATCATTATTTGGACTAATTGCCATATTTGGGCTTCGAGCCAACTATTTTAACCCTCCGGGGATTTTTATCACTATTTCCTCACTGTTTTGACCTACTACTTGAACTCAGTCGTACTGTTTTCCACTGTTTTAAAACTCAGCCACTTTTACTCGGTTTTAAAACTAAAATGATATAGTAATTGATATTTTGGGCTGAGAACTACTGTTTTTTTACTAATGCCTGAGGGGCTTATGTGATTTCTGGACTGAGTATGGCCGAGGGCCAGATGTGAGGATACTAAGGGATCGGGTTGCGGGCCGTAGTAGTGTTATACTGATACTGATATGAGGTCGAGAGCCTAGATTTTGATGCCACAATATGGCTTGATATTGCGCTTGGGCTGTAAGGGGCCCCTCTCGAACTCTGCGCACCCCAGTGAGCGCCATCGACCAGATATATGGATTGGGCTGCACGCCGCAGCGATATATGGATCGGGCTGCATGCCGCAACAGTGCTGGTACTGTTCTATGTGTTTACTTTATTTCATTTGTCTACCATTATCTGTTGTTTGTGCTACTTCATGTGATATCTATCTGATTGCCTGGCATTATCTGTTAATTGAGTGTTGTGCCCGAGGGGCAGATTTCAGTACTTATTTGCACTATTTGTTTTGCACTCATTTGCGTAACCGTTGAAAAAGTCATTTTTAAAAGAGGTTTAAACTGAGCTAAGATGTTTTTCCAAGGATTTCACAGTTTTCACTGCTTTTACTCAAAGGGTTTTAGACTGCTCTATACAGCATGATGGTTTGTTTTACGTGATTTCTTACTGCTCAGTTATTATATACCCTTATTACTCACTGAGTTGGAGTACTCACTTTACTCCCTGCACCTCATGTGCAGACACTACAAAAAAATTGCCTATTTAAGGGGGGTATTTTCACGTTTTGCGGCGGTCAGCGACCCCCGCTATTTGATATTGCGGCGGTCTTCAAAACCCCAGCTGTAAGGTTCATCGCAATCATTTTGTTGTAGTTTTTTAAAGCTCGCCGTAACCATTTAACGGAGGTTATTTGCTTGCGGTTTAACCCCCACAAATTAAATTTTTAATCAATGCGCAACTTGTAACGGGGGGTAAAACCGCCGCAAAATAGTCATCCTGCGGCGGTTTCAACCTCCGCAATATATTTTCGAAATATGAAAAATTCTATTTTCGCGGCAGCTTTAACCCCCTCAATTTGTTTATTTAATGGCAGTTGTAACCTCCCATATTCCATGAAGATCTTTTTTTTGGGGGGGGGGAGCAATTATGGGGATACCTATTTTTCTAATACAATATTTTAATTATATTAAATAAATTTTAAGAGGCATTAACATAATACTAAACTTAAACACAAAATATCTAGTTCAACCATTCAAGTAAAGTATCATACTTAATCATCTATTACATTTGCAAAGAAATTCAATGATTTTCATTAAGATTACTATCAATAGATGATCCTCTTACGCCCATAGGTGAAATGGATACGCTAGCTGCATCACTTGGCTGCAAAGAAATAAAAAGCATTTAAAGTTTTTTTCTTTTAGTTTTTCAAATTAAAAAACTACATATAGCTAGATTTTATTTACTGCTGCCGGAGGAGAAACGAAAATCCCAGCAAACTGTTCAGGTATTGTCCCTTCTTTCATAATCATATATGTCTTGAAAGCATTCATCATTTGGAGGTGTGCAGTCATCATTTGAGTATAGTTCTCTTGGCTTTGATTGTGAGCATTTACAATCTGATTGTACTTCTCTTCGCATTTGGACGAACATAAACCATTATCACAACTAGAAGAATTTATACCTCCAAAATGACGTCTTGTTTGTCTAAAAACATTACTCGGGATAGCTCCTAACCCCAAGCACCTTATCCTTCCAGAATGCTCTTTTCCTAGCACCTTACCAACAACATCATTTGGTGAAACTTCAGACTCATCTGTGGCGCTTTGACTTACAACTAGCTCAATGTTTTCCTAATTATAAGATACACAATAGCTAATGAGTTCTTTTATGTTTCAACACACAAAAGAATGCAGCAAGCATAATCTAAGAAACAATAATTAGATTTTAATGATTTCATTTGGCAACAATCTCTGAATCTAGTTGAAGACAGGTATATCTAGAGGAAAACAATTTCTGAAAGTTCCATTTCTTTTACATAATAATTCCTGCAAAATTCTGGTGCCTTTCCAATACCAGTAACCATGATAAAGAAATCATTGAAGATAAATTTTAATGACTGCATTTGGCAACAAGAAGCATACATAGAAGTACAGTAGAATAGAGTACATACAGACTCTCATCATCACTATAATCATGTCAAACAAACTAACAATTACCTTATTCTTCTTGTTTCTGAACATATCTTTATTCCTTACTGTCATTTCTGGTTTAAATCAAGAAGGGCTTTCTTTAATGTCATGGCTTTCCACTTATAACTCTTCCTCTTCTGTTACATCCTTCTCTTCATGGAATCCAAGTCATGGAAATCCATGCAAATGGGCTCATGTTACTATACTCAGCACCATATGAGAAACCTATGTGAAAAGGGTGAAATTGTAGCGACTCCCTGTGGTCGCTACAGGCTTCATGATGCAATTGCTGATATTATTATTCCCTATTCTAGCCCAGTGCTTGCACTAGTTCTGATTCTTTCTCCACTTTTAGCCTTAGTTCTAGCTGCAGCTCTGGCTCTATCTTAAGTTCTGACACTAGTCCTAGGCCAAAGAAAAAGGGAAGGAAGAGGAAGCAGAAGAAGGAATCAATAAAGTAGATATAATGATAATGGTGACATTATGTTTGACTTAGCTGGTCTGTTACATGTTACAGTGGTCATCAATAGACAAAAATGGAACAGATATAGACTCTGTATCCTAATTAGAATACAAAGTCTGTCAAATGAGAATGACAAGTTCAGAGCTTGGATGGAGTTATCAGTTGGAGTTAACGAATGTCAACAAAAGCTGGAGATGACGATAATAGATTTATTCTAGTGTGAGATGAAGCCTACATAATACTAGCATTGTTTGTCACTCCATCATTTTATAATAGCACTATTTTCTCTTGAAAGGAAAGCTTGCTGAAGTTTAATATGCTCAAGATGCTATTACTTTTAGAAAACATCACGAGACTATTTTCACAAGGCTTTCTGAAATTAAAGTTGAGCAAAATTAAAGAAGAATTCCCAGTCAATGCAACATATGGAGAACAAATAATAGGCTATGTTTCCTCTTTACATCAAAATTAGTTTCATTTTGCTATCTCCATTAACCTGGTACTCCACTTGAAACAGTTTAACAATCAGTTGAAAGATTGAAATCTTATTAACTTGATGTTAGGATAAAGCTTTTAACAAGTAGAAACTTACACATATTTCTCTTGCTGCTTCATTAATATATGACCCATCTTCCTTCTTATGAGTAGCAAGATAGAGTTGCGCTCGTCCAGGGTTTTTGTCCAGATTCAGCCATCTATAAATGAAAAATCAAGTCAGAATAACTTGACAAAAGAGGAATAGTTTGCAAGTTTAATTAAAGTAAAACATATTGAATTAACATTTATCACCATTTTAGCTCTTCTTCTGGAGTTTGGTTTGGAACCACCAGTGTGTGCAACAGTTTGTTTCTTCCGAATTTCAGCATTTCTTTTACTCATTTCCTTATAAAAATACACATAACTCAAATATACAAACAAAAAAGTATATAATTACACATACTAATTGAAGCATTCAAATAAATACCATTATCTTTTCATTAAAATAGTAAGCAACATAAGAAGTCCATTGATCCCGTGGAATCCCTGGTGGAACATTATCCATAATCTCTGCTTTGGTCTTAAGTGGGTCAATGAACTCATACCACAACCTTTGCCTTCCTGAACTCCACTTTTTTTCCAATAGAACTATAAACATATGCTCATGCATTTAACTCAGCTGTCTTAAAACAGAATCGTGGCTACATGAATAAAACTTCTTTTAGCTAATTTATTACATACAAATATACAGTCTAACGACATAAAATAGAGTTACAACAATAAGAAAATAGAGCTTATACTTTTATAATTTGATCAAAGCAACAATTGAAGTATGACTTAGGTAAATCTGGCCATTTGTTGAAGTGAATTGGAAATAAGGAGCAGTGGGTTGCTAAAATTCCACAAAAGCCTGCAAGAACACCTTGCCCTTCTCCAATTGGTTGATCCATATCATCAAATTCAACCACAATACATTTTCCGTCAGATAAATACATCACATCCTTAACCTTTACTTTGAGTTTTTTGGTAGCTCATTGCGAATCTTTAAAAATAAACATCAAGTTAAAAGATCGAACTAACTTTTGTACATAAAATTCTGCATAAACTTCAGCGTATACTATTCTAAGAATTCAACATGAAACATCAAAATACAGATTAAGTTGAAAATAATTATAACTAAACAATAGATTCCAATTATCATAATAATCAGCTATTTAACAAGAGACCATCTGATCTTCAACAGATCGAAAATCAACATATAAAAATTAATGGTATAAGCATATGAAAATTGAAAAGCTAATCAGTTAATCACTCTATGCTAAAATCACTAAAGTGAAATAAAAAGTTCCATCATTTCCCATCATTCTGGCCAGAACATTTCCCATTTGCGAACATGTCAAAAGTTCCCATATAAAACTAGGAAAGGTGTTAAAACATCCAATCTTCTTCATGTAGTAAGGCAAGTCAAATAATGGGAAATGACAGTCTAAGAAACTGGAGTTATCTATAAATTTATCGCTTCCTGACAAATGCAAATAGAATATGATAAAGCATTTTACCTATAATCAATAGTTGAGATAACCATTAAAAAATCATAAACTTGTGAAAAAAATTCGCCAGCATTTCGGCGCTTTATGGACGTTTAGAAAGAAAAAGAAAAAGAAAAAGAAAAAGAAAAGGAATAGTGATGCTTGAATGAATCAAGAAAAGAATTACCTATTGCATCATTTGTCCAATGTTGCGGACACTCCCGTCTAGGACGCTTTTTGGATTGTTTCGGTTGTGATGCTACCTGAACTGATGGGGCAGGCTGTGATATGGCCTGAATTGAATGAGCCGGCTGAGTTGCAGCCAGATCTGACGGGGCCGGATGTGATGTGGCTTAAACTGAATGAGTCGGTTGTGCTGCAGCCCGAACTGACGGGGCCGGCTGTGACGTGGCTTGAACTGAATGAGCCTGTTGTGCTGTAGCCCGAACTGATGGGGTCGGCTGTGATGTGGCCTGAACCGAATGAGTCGGCTATGCTGTAGCCCGAACTGATGGGGCCGGCTGTGATGTGGCCTGAACCGAATAAGTTGGTTGAACTGACTTTCGCAAGTTATGGTAACGCTTGGCCCTTGGCATATCTGGAATCAATAAAATACAATCAGCATGTTAGTTGCTCTACAGAGAGTACCTAATTAACAGAATCATATAGAATTAGTGCTACGACGAAATAATAAAATAATCTAATTACTTGCAATCTAGATCACACCTTGCAACTTCAATTTAAGAAATGATTAGGAGAGTGAGTGACCAGTTTACTGCTATGTTTAGGAGAAAGGCTTTCTATAGAGCAGGATGCAAGAGTTGAAGAAAATAGTGATTATGAAAATGAAGCTGCAGAAGATCAAGAAACAGAGACAAAGGCAATATTGAATAGTGACACTTGAATAAATCAAGATAAGAATTACCTATTGCATCAACTGTCCAATGTTGCGGACACTCACATCCAGGACGCTTTTTAGATTGTGTAGGCTGAGAGCATGCCTGTACTGATGGATCCAATTGTGATGTGGCCTGAATCGAATGAGCTAGCTGTGCTGCAGCCCGAACTGATGGGGCCGGCTATGATGTGGCCCTAGCTGATGCAGTCTGATGTGCTGCGGCCTAGACTAAAGGTGTCGGTTGAAAAAATGATACCAACTGCGGCGTATCATTAAGATATGACTTTTGCAACTTTTGGTAATGCTTGGCCCTTGGCATATCTGGAATCAATAAAATAAATTAACTATGAAGTTGAGGGAAGTTTAGTCTTTATACTAAATTTAAGGTATAAAGCTAACAAACTATTGGATATCTCCTGGCCAGGGTCTAAAGAGTAGTCACAAACCAACAACAGAGACAGTTAAACAACTTTTGCAAGGAGGAAAAATAATTAAGTAGAACCTTACAAGCCACAGATTTCATAATTGAGAGACATGTTTGAAAAAAGAGCTTAAATGCACTGTCTAGTTGAGCATCCACAAGCATAATTAATTCACTTCACAGAAGTCATTTCAATCACCAAGTTTTGGTAACGCTACGACGAAACAATCTCGATCACACCTTGCAATAGTTTCTATACTTTAATGCTTTAGACTTGAAGAAACTATAATTCCTAGTCAGACATATGCTCCTCTATTGCAACTTGGATATTCTCATAGTTAATATAAAAAAATTGTTCCAATTCTTGTTGTTGGTATGGCTCATTCTCGTACATTTCTTCTTCATCAACATTTCCTATGTCAAACAAATCTCTTGGCTTTAGATGCACATCAACACTCCATTCTTTATCAGTTTCATCATCAATATAGTAGACCATATTTTCTTGAGACGCTTCAATATAAGGATCATGGTCCTTGCGATCACCCGTGTGAATCAATCTAGAAAAATTAACACAATTAAATTTCCAAACATCTATTTTGAACCCTCTATCCTGAGTAGTGTCAGCCCACTGGCATTTGAAGAGCACAACCATAAACCGTCCATAATAATTGAGCTCAATTATGTCTTCCAACTTCCCATAATATGGCAACTCTACTTGTGTTGCATTTCTATCAGCATTAGATGCAATACAAGAGGTGTCAGAGGTAAGAAAAACTCCACTATTTTGAGTTTTCAATCCTTGTTATCTAGACACAGTCCGAAACTTGAATCCATTAATGTTATATGCAGTAAACCTTCTTGCATCTGGCATTTGACCTTGTGCTAAGAACTCCAAATCAGTAGATATTGTGTTTGCTATATCTGGATTCATGATCTGAACAAACAAAATTATTTTTTTCTATTAGATAATCTAAAATAATACAACTTATGCATAAACAGATATTAGCTATATTATTCACTCAATCATTTTAAAAACCAATCAGGAAACTCTTTATTAACTCTTCTCTCTACCTCTGTTGCAGAAAGTCTTCGACCTCTTGAATTCCTTTTAATGTGGTTCCTAAATTCACTACAGAGGAATCACCTATATTAATTTAATCATTTCACTTTAAAAAGTTTGCTAAAAAATAAATTACAATAAACTTTCTTACTCAATAAATGGTTTCACTACTGCGCAATTAAGTAACACGTATCGATGAGCTTGAGTCTTCTCCAAAGGAGACAAGGGAAATATTGTGGAGCCTCCAATAGGTTTACCTTGTTGAGGGAACAAAGATGATACTTCAGAGGTTTTATTATGATTTAGCTCATCGTTTACACGTTTAGGCCTATTTATCCTTGACTCGATACCCTCAAAATAACGAGAACAGAGAGTCAGAGCATCTTCAACAATATAACCTTCAGCAATAGAACCTTCTGGTTGTGCTTTGTTCCCTACAAGAGACTTGAAATGACCTAACAATCTATAACGAAAATGAAATATTATTAGAACAAGCATTCAGTTTGAATTAATATTAAAATTTTGATCTAAAGAATGTTATGAAATAATAAATTTTTACCTTTCAACAAAATACATCCATCGATAATGTACTGGACCACCTTGTATCACTTCATCTACTAGATGGATAGTTAAGTGAACTATGGTAGTGAAGAAAGATGGAGGGAATAAAATCGCTAAGTGAGAAAGTGTGAGTACAATCCGATCTTGTAGCTTCTCTAGGTCAGATAGGCTTAAACTTTTCAAACAAAGATTTCTAAAAAATGAAGAAAGCTCTACCAAGACTGCAACAACCTCATTCGGAAGCACATTTCGAATTGCAACAGGCAACAATTGTTCCATGATGATGTGACAATCATGACTTTTTAATCCGAAGATCCTCTTCTGATCCGGATCAATACAATCAGAGATATTACTTGAGTAACCATCCGGTACCGAAATATTCTTTAATGTTTTAAGGAGGCGACTCTCTTCTCTTTTGGAATTTCAAATGCAGCAAGGCGACAATTTTCCTTCTCATCTGGCCAAAGATAACGCTTTATACCCATAGCTTGTAGATCTTTTCGAGCCTTAACATGATCCTTTGATTTGTCTTTATCCATTAGCAAAGTGTATATAATATTGTCAAACACATTTTTCTCGATGTGCATGACGTCCAAATTATGGCACAACGAGTTGAATTCCCAATATGAAAGATTGAAGAATATGCTTTTTTTCTCCACTGCTAGGTTGCACCCTCCCTATCTTTTCTTTGTCTGTTTCTTTTCTTTCTAGCATTCAACTCTACTGGCCTTCCAAATGTAACATCGATTTCTTTCACTTGTTGCAAAATGTCTGACCCCGATAACTTTCTCGGTGGATTCCTCTCCTCCACATCTCCAAAAAAACGATGCCTCATCAATATAAATTTGTGATTTCTTGCCAAAAATCGACGATGACCAATAAAGCACCATTTTCTACTGTGAGGAAGTCGACAAGGTACTGCGTCAAAATTACAAGAGGGGCATGCCAAACCAGTATGTGTGTTCCAACCAGATAAGATATCAAGTCCAGGAAAATCACTAACTGTCCACATAAGAGCTGCTCGCATTTTGAACATTTCATTCTTCGATGAATCATAAGTTTCCACACCTTCATACCATAACTCATTCAACTCCTTAATAAGGGGTTGTAAGTATACATCTATATTATTACCAGCCGTACGTGGACCTGGAATGATCATTGAGAGGGTTAAATTTGGTTGCTTCATGCACAACCAAGGTGGAAGATTGTATGGAACGAAAACCACATGCCAAATACTATAATTAGTACTCATCGTTCCAAAAGGATTGAAACCATCACTAGCTAGGCCTAATCGAACATTTCGGGGATTAGAAGCAAATTCAGGAAAGATTGTATCAAACCTCTTCCATGCCTCACCATCTCTCGGATGCCTCATTATTCCATCTTTGTTACTATCCTCCGCATGCCATCTCATATGCTCTACAGTCTTAGAACACATGAATAATCTCTGCAACCTTGGTTTTAGTGGAAAGTAACGCAAAATTTTTGCAGGTTTTTTTCTTCTTCTTACTTGTAGCAGGCACGCGATGATTATTGCCCCTCTCATTAGGCTTCCATCTAGAAATGTGACAATACTTGCATGTTTCTTCACTAGCATCATCTCCCCATTACAACATGCAGTCATTTGGACAATCATCTATCTTTATATAATCAAGACAAAGCTTTTTGATGGTTTTCTTGGCCTCATAAAAAGAATCAGGGATACTTGTAAAGTTAAATGCATCTCTCAATAGATCCAGTATCATAGTCATTCCCTTGTCACTTAGCCCAGACAAACTCTTTATATGATATAGCTTTAACAAAAACTCTAGCTTTGAGTACTTGGAACCTTTATACAATTCTTGACTTTCATCTCTAAGCAACTCAAAAAAGTCTTTACTATTTGAAGCATGCATATCATCTAACATTTCTTCTTCTCTCCCTGCTTGTGATGAACCTACATCAATACCCTCATGTCTTAAGCCCTGAAATGCTTCATTAATCAATAAGTCCACTGGATTTTCAGCAAGTAGTGTATCTTGAGTGACCTCTAGTGTATCTTGAGTGACTTCTATGTTATTAAAGTTCAGCAACACATTTATTTCGCCATGAAAAACCCAAGTGACATAATCTTGAGGGAATGACTTGCAGATTAAATGATCGAACACTATCTCTCTAGTCAACCACTTCACAAAACCACATTTAGGACATGGACATTTTATTCTATCTTCTATAGCTCCATTTTAAATGTAAAATCTAAAAATTGATTCAAACCAAACAAATATTCATTTGTGTTCCTTGGCAATCGAATCCAAGATTTATCCATTGAAAAAGTATTTGAAAAGATCTGAAACCTTTGAGAAGTGCAGCTAATGACCCTAAATCAGGTTGTATGCCACCAGTAAGGACTCTTCTATTCAAGAGAGTTTGATATAACCTACAAGATTTTCATGAGGAAAAATAATTTAGTAACTTGTCAATTTTATAAGATCAGAGACATACTTTACAATTTTATAAGCTAAATAAAAGGGAATATAAAGTTAGCTAGTTATCTAGCATGAACAACAATGAGAACATATTCAAATGAATATATACTACCAAACTAAGAGTGCTAAACTAAGAGTACATATTCAAATGAACATATTCAAATGAATCAATTTTTTTGCTAATGCAGTCTACATGAAAATACCAATGCAATCAACATGATATAAAATAGCACACTCACAAAACTACACCTAGACATGGTAAGTTTCTGCATTCCCTTTAAGCACGTCTGTAAGCTGATGCCTTTTGAACTCACTTTAATCGTTTACATTTTGGAGTAGTCTACGGAGATAAATGGATAAAATTGAGGAATTAAATAGTCACAAGCCAGAAGACTACCATATATATCAAAGAGATATATTCTTCTGCTAACATTTTACAAAATTTCTTGAACAAAAAGTAGTAATACTACAGTATGAGAAATAAACTACCATGTCTAGGGAAAATCTAAACTCGTACGAAAAGTTAGCAGAAAATTCCATATACAATTAATATATTTACTCATTGACTTTGAAGAGATTGCTCCAGCACCAACCTCAAACGACGCACTAATAAAATCATAAAAAGGAGCAGAGAGAACCTAAATCAAATCACATGCAAAAATTATTGAAATTGGAGCAGAGAAACCTAAATCAAATAACATGCAGAAACTACTAAAATTAAGATATTAGGAAAACATACTCAAAACCCTAGATGAATTAAAATCGAATATAAACAGATTAGGAAGGAGAGGGCAGAGAGCTGCAATTCGTGTTGTACCTTTTGTCAGGAGATTCAACGACAAACACGCTTCAATTCAAGTTGTAATTGCTAAAATTCACATTAAAATCGCACAAATATCAAACTTAGAGGAATTAAAATGGGATATCAACTATTTTCGCAATGCAGAGACTGATTTCGCACAACTATTTTCGCAATGCACAAATATTTCGCACAAAAATTTTTGCAATCGGATATCACATTAAATCGCAACTTAGAGTGAACCCTAAATCGTTACAGTGAAAGACAATAAGAGATTAAAGAGAGAAAGAGAACTTCCCATTTCAGGAGGAGAAAACCAACCCTAAATCGTTAGAGTGAAGAGCATGCACTGTGATGTGGGCGGTGGGCGGAAATTTTTACTTTTCAATGTCTATATGGGCAGAAATTTCTGGAAAAAAAGAGGGAAAGATTTCGTTCAGGGCTTGTGTGTGCCAGAAAAGTAAAAAGAAATAATGGAAATTGAATTTTAGTGCAGAAAAGTAAAAAGAAAGAACTGTGCGTTTGATTGCTTGACAACAATTGTTTTGGGATTTGCACCACCAAAATTTTAATTTAAGTCTAAGGGAGGTTTCAAACGCCGCAAATTAAATTTTAGTGCAGAGGTCAATAAGCCCCCCTAAATTAGATACAATTTGTGGAGGTTAATTATAACCCCCGTAATAAAACTACCGCAAATAGACTGTTTTTTATAGTGAGATGCAGGTATTTGTTCACTCGGTAGCGGGTTTTGAGCTGGTCGGAGGCTAAGTTATCGGAGTTTAGTGAGGTGACTGCCAGCATTCGCAGCACCGTATTTTTTCCTTTTGTTTATCAGTCCTATTTTATATGTTTCAGGCCTTGTAGTTGTATTTATACTCTAATAGATGCTCATGACTTGTGACACCCCGATTTGGGCTGTGTTTGGGTTGTATTCCGCACTTAATAAAGAAAATTTTTGTTTAAATTGTGGCTATTTAATTATGCTAAAACTGTTTATTAATATTAACTATTCTGAAAAGGCAAAATGGGTTGGTTGGTTGGCCTTGTCTTCACGAGAGGCGCCATTACGACCAGATCGGGGTCTGGGTCGTGACAAGTTGGTATCAGAGCCTAGGTTACATCGGTCTCACGAGTCATGAGAAGGTTTAGTAGAGTCTCACGGATCGGTACGAAGACGTCTGTATTTATCCTCGAGAGGCTGCAGAACCTTTAGGAAAAACTTCACATTCTTAAATTCTTATCATGCGTCCTTGATCCAGCTTGAAAAGTAACTCTTGAAATTCCTTCCACGCGTTCGCATGCACGCATGAGCACTCAGTATCAGATGTGCCTTGATGGCTTGTGATTCCCTGATCGAGAAGCGAGATGTGATCTCTGTGAGTTTGATGTTGGGCCAGTCTGGAGAACTTGAGGCCGGATCTTTGCCTATTGCTTGAGCACTGAGGTGTGGATTGTGTGAGCAAGTGTGTTGCACTTATATGTTCAGTATTATCCCTATTAGTGGAAGTGATGACTGGATAACTGTGTGGTGAGTATGTTAGTACTACGAGACGTATCTATACGACTTGGAAGTAACGAGGAAGGCCAGCTGGAGGATAGAAGAACTATTAAGTTGTTGAATTCCATCTTGATTCGAGGTATAGCCCTGAGTTATGGGCGCGTGAATGATCTTTTCATGTTTTCCAATTGAGAGTGAAGTAAATTTTATGTTGCGGTACGAGTTCAGACTCAGGAAGACTAAGCGACTGTGTAATGTGTATGATGGTGGAAGGTATACAAAAATGTTAGATTGAGGCGAAGCAGGTGGGTTATCTCTTGCGGAGTGTTCTGAAGTGGTGTGATCCTTATGTGTATGTTAGAAGATCTCATGTGTAAGTGAAAAGTACGTGTTGAAATTTGAAATTTCGGGTCGCTTAAGAGAGTGGGCTTAACTGTTGCGGGGATGAATGCGAGATTTGCAGAAGATTTAAAGTACAAGATGATCTTTGTTTTCACAAGCTTACAAAAGGATTTGAGATTAATCTCACTATGGTATTGTGGCATCAATAGAGTATAAGTGTTATGAGTTACCGAGTGTATTTTGATATATGGCTCCGAGCCAAGTGGGGGAGTCTACTGTGAGTAGTTGGTTTGCATGGTTAGGCGCTATGTTGGTTCCAGTTTGTGGCGTGCAGGCGAATTAGTTAAGGCTTGCGGAAATTGAGACCGAGGATGACTCGAGTAGAGGAAATTATTTGACAAAGGTTATATTATGCTTCATAGAGTAAGAAAAAATCACGGGATATCTTAAGTTGTTGTTGGTAAAGAATGCTCGGTGCATAGAGCAGGAAGTTGCTTGGATGTGTTGGGATGAGGATTTCATTCTGTGGTGTTAGAGTGCTAATGAGGCACGGGTGGTTCTGTTCGTTTGATTAGGGTAATTGCAGTTTAAAGAGAGTGAGTGACTCTCGAGAATGGTTCTAATGTGATCGAGGTTCTACATGTAACAATTGGGTATCTTAAAGTTGTATATGGGGTTAGAAACTGTGTTTTCATTGGAAGAGGTCAAGACTTGTGATATTTCTATATTGATTATAGGATTCTATGTATCGGTATCAGGAAAGCAAAGGTAATGGATTTAGATTTGCAGGAAGTTCCTCAGAGTAATATGTTCTAGAATGTGGTGTTTCTGGGAGTAATTGAGTGAGTATTCAACGGCTTATAGATCTTAGACAGTGTGGTCTTGTGCTTGGGTCTCGTGTGGTGAGCCTGGGTTGAGGAATTGTGGTGCTACAGTAAGAGAGAATATCAAGTTGAAAATGAATCAGAAGGAAATTTAGATAGATGGAATAGTTTGATAGTAGACCGAATCGGTATGGTAAGGATATGATTAATTCCTTGTGTGTGTTCGAGATAATTAGTTCTTTCAGGTATTTTGTGGCAATGCTATTAGGTTTTGATGGCTTGCTTAGCTTGATCGAGTTAGAAGGATTCAGTCCTGACATGTCTGATTTTTGCAAAAGGAACTCGGAGAGTTCTTGATGGTTTTTACCATGGTTTGGAGATGTATATTTTATATGGGCATGCAGAGCATGGGATGTATAGTGATTTTTCTTCTATATTGAGACCAATGGAAAGTTTTTAACCAATTGAGTACGTAGATGTTTGTGGCTCAGAAGGAAGATGAAGTTCTTATATTATCCTGAGATGGTATGGTATATGCGGTAGGTTGTGGAGGATTTACAATTGCGTGTGGAAGGTTACAGTTCAGTTCTGAATGGAAAGTCATGAATTCTTAGGCAGCACGGGTAGTTTCAGATGATTAAGGAAGTGTTAGTGCTAATTAGGGTGATTTGACGAGGGTATATGCTTTAGAAAAGACAATGTGATTAAGTTGATGGTATTCGGTAGTATTGCGGCACTTTCTTGTTAGATCGACTGGTGATATTCGAGTTTGCTTGGTGACACAGGGAAATATTTGAGTATCTATCGTGGAATGATTGGGTATTTGAGGCGTAGCATGTATTCAGACGACGAAATTGGGATCGGATATGGTGATTCATGGGCCGTGTGGATTTGGAGACGAAAGTTCTCATATTCAGGCTATGTTGTGGTTGTGGATCGTGTGTATCGACACTGTTTAGCGACTATCGAGATTTGGAGGCTTGAGTGGATCTTTCTTTGTTGGTATGTTGGATGTGATGTTGGAGTTCAGACTGGTTGTCTCAGTGTTGGGTTATTCTGGACTATTACACTATGGGCTATGCCGGAAATGCTACGGGTTGAGTGGCGAGGTGCGGCAGATTATGTTCTAGTAGAGTGGTTTATATTTCAAAGACCCAGCGAACGGCTAGGAAGGATTGTCTTTCTTAATTGAGCCTTCGTGATGGATGTCAGTGCAGAGGATTCTACCATTGATTCAGTTCTGGTGTTGAGGGACTCTCCATATGTGTTTCTTGCGGCCGGGCATGTCGCCGGGCAGGGTTGTTGATTTCGGTATTGATTTGGTGCCGGGCACTTTGTCGTATGGCTCCGGCATGAGTTATAGTAGTGGAAGTAGTAGCTTCAGGCTTCCTTGATAAGGAGTTCGTTGGCAAGCCAATGTGGATGCATGTTCTAGTCGAGTCTGCTTAGTTGGCCCCAAACTGTATTGTTGAGGGACATGTGGATTCGACCTTATTGAGCTTACTAGTGATTTGGGAGATCTATGAGTTGCCTTTCTTTGTTGCGAGACATTATGATTTATTGGTTATGGGCACATATGGTGTGGTTCTATTGGGGTTCATAATGGAAGTCGAGCGGGAAAAGTAATTGGGTGTTGCTAGGTGGATGGCGTATCGGTTACGTCCTATCGGGTCTGTGTGGTATATCTTCCTTGTTTTACCGTGGGTGTAGTGATTTGCTTTGGTTCCAGGTGTCAAATTGTGCATGCTTGTCAATTTCGAGCAATAGTGACTTGAGGTGTTTCATGTGGAACAGTGTTTGGATAGGATCGCGCATTTTGCAGCGAAGCTATGTGGAGATATGACCTTGCGGGTCATATTCGGGTGTTCTATTTCTATGATATGAGACGGATCCTTAGTCTTGTGTTATGGTGGTATGGGTGAGCTTGAGGTACTGTCACACCTCCTTCTTCACCTACACCCACAAGGGCGTAAAGGAGTTTTCCCAATTAAAGGACAATCAGAACGGGATTTAATTATTAATTATTCAGAGTCGCCACTTGGTATATTAATGGTGTCCCAAGTCACCGGTTGAATCCCGAACCGAGGAAATTTATGACTCTGTTAACAGTCCGCGAACCAGAAATCCAAGTAAGGAATTCTGTTAACCCGGGAGAAGGTGTTAGGCATTCCCGGGTTCCGTGGTTCTAGTACGGTCGCTCAACTATTGTATTTAATTTTATCTGATTTTAGTTCATGCTAGCCTATGTGCCGCTTATTCGTAAACCGCCTTTATCATTATATTTTAAAAGAATTGCAACATTGTGGAAATGTGTCTCAAACCACGTCACAATCAATGCACCCATGGTTGTCAGCACATTTCGATTCCGTTGAGATTTGGATTTGGGTCGCATCAATGCACACCCGAGTTTAGGAATGTAATTTTATTAAAATCGTGCTTAAAGGGTCTAGTGTATTATTATTTTGGGGAAGGCCGTGAAATTCGCTAAATGGCCCTCCCGAATTCATAGCGTTTATTGAGGGCCCCGCATTTCGTATTTTATTTGGCGAGGCTCGTCTCATCATTATATGAAAAGGCCAAACTAAAAAAGACTATGATTTTTATTCTTATTTGTCTCTAAAGGCCATAATTTATTAGTTAACCAATCAATTATCATTAGAAGTACTCAAAAGGCCCAAACCTTAGGTCTATGATTCAGCAACCCAATGGGTTTCAGTCTGTTGGGCCCAGTCCGATTCACAAGAAGCTTGAGCTTCAGGGCCCAAACATACGCCAACTTTCAGTTCTTAGCAACTAAATGATCAGCAATGGTCTTGTGCTATTCTAGCAGGGTTTCACGCCACTGGGCCAAGGTGATCCCATAAATACGGCTCAAGTTGAAACAGACCACAATACTAATTATGAACAAAATTGAATATAAATGATCACCAGGCCACAGTCTTTTCACATC